ATTTTATTTGTTTGAAAAGGTGATGAAAGAGACGACGACAATTGAAAAACCTCATCTTGTCGAGAACTACGTCCAAAGTTTGATGGCGGACCATGTTGAGAATGATGATACAATAACGTTTCCAAAGGTATTAGCTTTATTGCTAGTCTTTTATTTAACACTGATTGATTGGGATCGAAGGAAACAGTTCGTTTTGTGGATGAGGACTGCCAATTTTCCCAAGGGGAGGCCGAGCGTGTTTTATTTGTACCAAACATGTTTCAAACAAACAAAATTGAACAATTTCTGAACAATTTTATTATTCGCCGGTGAATAAAAATATTAGAGAACTTAAGCTTCGTGTTATACGTCAAACGGCAAACGCCAGGCAAAGAAAAATTTTACGGTATCAGGCGATAAAGAGTAAATGAACTTGCTGTTTTAAAATTATTCTTTCGACGCAAGAAAGAAAATATGAAACGAAAACGTTCAACGAAACTTTTGCCAAGAAAGTTCGAACCTCCCTATTATCTACACTTTCATGTGATACGCTCTCGTCCAATGAGATGCAAGAATACGTGAACTTTGACACTTGCTATCTAATAATACTGGTTCCCTTCCCTTCCCTTCCCTCGCCTGAAAGTGAGTGGACAATTTCAGGAAACAAGGGGGGGGGGGATGGGGGGGGAGGATTTGGCGAATACCGTGAACTTGCCTTCAGGGCACTGTAGAGTGGTACACTGCAGCTGAAGATTGTTTTTGCTGTTTGAAAAATATGGCGTGAAATGAGTCCCACAGAAAGTGATATTATTACATAATCCTTGTTTCTACTCTGATCTTCTTAGACACATTTCAATCTTTGTCTTGTGAAACTCGCTTCAGAAACTATGGTGAGAGAACGCAGCTGTTTTAACGGGTAAGAGATGCACTTCGTTAGAGATGGATTACACTATCAAAGTTTCTGTGATCACAGTAGGAATTTTGCATAGGTAAATTCTAAGTTTTGAAGGATTTGTAAGAAATGTTTGAGGAAACTGACTTAATGTTTAACACTGAATCAGTGTTTCCTCAAACATTTCTTACAAATCCTTCAAAACTTAGAATTTACCTTTGCAAAATTCCTACTGTGATCACAGAAACGTTTATACTTCTGTAACGATCATATACCAAACGTGTTGTCTTTAGTGTCAGTAGTATTCTGGTTGATGTCCGAACTACCTGCTGGACATATTTGAGGTCTAAAGCCTGTATTCTAAAAGCTCGCTCACACTCAAAGAGTGGAGGTTCAATCTGAGCTTCTCTTGAGTGCCAATGCTGTTTTTGAATAGCTGGAGGGTTAGTGTCGTACCTTACTATGTGACTACTCACCCTCCAGCTATTCAAAAACAGCACTGACACTCAAGAGAAGCTCAGATTGAACCTCCACTCATTGAGTGTGAGTGTAAACGTGGTTTTAGAATACAAGCGTTAATCTTTTTCTGGTAGTTCTGACCCCAACCACGACAGCTTGAGATCTGTGCTTTTGCCCCAAATTACGCTTCTCTATATTTAGGTACGCGATGTACTATGAGAACCTGTTACGTCATCAGCACCAGTTGTTGTATACGAAGGAACAGGTAAGATTGCCTCTCTTTGCGTAGAATTCGAGAATCAGTAATCAGTGAAAAGTTTGCCTGACCTCGGTGGGAATCGAACCCGAGACCTTTGAGATACCAGTCCGATGCTGCCCTCTATTTTAATTTCTGCTTCTCCAGGAAATCAAACAAATTCGCAGCAGTAAAGAAAATTCGGAGAAGAATTCCCAAGTAGATATCGATTGTCAACTGGCAGATAAAAGTCATGAACTTCTCTTGGGTAAGCGAGAATTACTAGCGGTTAAATTCACAAAGACTGAGCTTTGTATTCATTTATTGCAGGAAACTCTATCAAGATAGGATGGTCTGGAAACTGAACAGAAGTCATTATGTCATGTTTTTGTCGGAGTTTATGTTAATTTGTGCACGGTCACGGTGATTGTGCTCATTGTATTTTCGTATAATGAATTAATCGTCCAATAGGGATAGCTTAATGAGTTGAGACAAAGGATTTGTGCATGGTGAGATACAGTTCAACATCAAACAAAGCTCTTCTATTTTGTGGCTTTGAAGTTTGCCCGGCTTACAGGCCATCATATCTTGACAGACTATGAACCCGAATAGCGAGGGAAAACTTAACCACTGGAATATTTGTACTATATTATTGTTGTTTTAGAAATAACCGCACTGAGAGCAAAAATTAAAGAACTCACTGATGAACTTAGCAATCAGGTAAAATTCACATGCTTTTAAATCGAATTCAAAAGCAAGATAAAGCAGAGTGGTAGCCAGAAGATTAAAAAGAATCGACAATTTAATGAATTTGGGAATTTCAGTTAGCCTGCGACATTCAGACCGGAATTAAGGAATAACGTGTTTCTTAAGTCACGTTCTCGTGGCCTAGCGCCAACTGAGCTAAATTGAAAGTTTTGAAGTGCAGGTCACCTGACATTGTTTTGCGTGCTAAAACCAGTTAGCACAGAAAGGTTAGACAGAAAGGTTATTTCCATGCAAAACAAGTTGTCGATTTTCTTCTTGGTGCTTTCTTCCCTGCTTTCCTTGCCCCAAGGAAATGTTCAAACTTTACGAGTGTATCAACATGATATAGTTGCAGTTAAATGCATATTATCATGATTAAGTGAAATTTATTATTACAGTAAGTGTTTTTATTTCCCCCCAGGAAAGTGATATACGAGAATGTTTAAGGAAAGATTACAACACCGTCGTACGAGATCTGTTTTCACGTTGTTTCTCCATGAAGAATAAATTTGAAGAGTTCAGGTTAGTCCCGAGTAGTTTGAGCAATGAGCTACTGTGGACTGGTCAGTGATTGCACGTCCACTCCTTCACTTGTCGTGAAGGGCCTCAGATCTAAAATTATATATAATTTTCGTTCGAAATTCTCATGTACTTTCAATGCCTTCAACATTAAACAGGCGTTACAACTCTTCGGATCATTGAGGCAGATTTCCACTACACAACATTTGCCTAAAACTGTCGCATGCAACCTGCTTACAACTTAAGTTGTACTGTGTAAATCAAGTACACAACTTGCTTACGTTATCGTAGTTGAGTTGTGTGTTTGATTTACACAGTACAACTCAAGTTGTAAGCAGGTTGTGGAAATCAGCGTTTACGCAATACATTTGCATGACCTCAAGTTGGTTTTAACGCGACGTATATAGCTTGATGTTTGGTATTGATCGCATGATAACTCATCATTTCAGGGGTTCGCTCTATGACGATGTTCTGGAAAATCTGAGTATGTGCGACGGCAAGCCATGGACAATATGAGAAAGATTAGGGAGAGATCTGGCACTTTGAAAGGTGAGAAAAGACTCAAGAGAGACAGTGGTTTTATAGCTGTCGTCATCGTCGCCATCATCACACCATCATCATCACACCATCATCATCATCAACATCAACATCATCATTATCATCAACATCATCACACGTACCATCATAATCATCAACATCATCATTATCACCATCATCACTATCAACATCATCATCGCCATGATCATCATGAATTTTCCCATTCAAATTTGAGCATCGTTCGTCTTGATGAGAGTTTTAGCTACGCGCGCGGTAATATCTACTCAACTCATGGATAATAATGTATCTTTCCAGATGATGCTGAGACTGAATCAAACGTCCACTTGGCCAGAGCAGAGAGGATCAGAGGATACCAGGAGGAAAACAAACATTTAGGAGCTTTGGTAAAATATATTTAACTAAATAATTGTTCTTCCTAGAGATCCGCTCCAGTAAGGGTCGCCATTATTGATACAGTGTTACTACAGGAGGAAAACTGTTACAGGAACCGAACCTTAATCCGTGGTGAAGGACTGATGCTCTAACCACTGTGCAACAATTTATGTGAGTTCATATGTAATGGCATTCCTAACATAGCGCAATTTCTTTTCTTTTCAAGTTTTACAAAGTAAGGACTTTGAACTTTTGGAAAAACACCCGAATGAGTTCAAATCATTTTGAAACGGTGAGTCTAGTACACGCAGTATCGATTATCTCATAACATACGAGTTAGATTTAATAAAATTTTATATAGTGGGTATGTGTTTCAACAATCAAGAACCCTAATTCGATATTTTGTCGTTCAGGTGGCAAGTCTAAGAGACGAAGCCGACAAGGCGAAGAAAGAATGTCTGGATATTAAAAAGATGGCTGAAGAAAGAGAATTGTTATTAAAACAAGAACAAACTGCTTTGAGAAAGGTTAGTCTTGAGTATATAGATGATTGATTGGTTGGGCAGTGAATTGGATGTTAATTAGATAATTGACTGATTAATTAATTTTGATTAATCAATTGGATGGTTTAATAGATTAATTTTGATTTGTTAATTAAAATCAATTAATTAATTTGATTAACTGCATTGCTTGATTAATTCATTTTGATTGATTGATTAATTAATTAATTGGATTGTTTTAATTTTGATTAATTAATTAATTGAATTATTAACCGTATTGATTGAATTAATTAATGGGATTGTTGATTGGATAATTTATTGATTTGATGATTAATTAAGTGTTTAATTGGGCAATTGATTGACTGGTTAATAAATAAATGATTGATTGATTGATTGATTGGATGATGAATTGACAGATTAATTGATTAATTGAATTGATTGATTGGATGATGAATTGACAGATTAATTGATTGATTGAATTGATTGATGATTAATGATTATTGATTGATTAATTTATTGATTGGATGATTGTTTAGATGATTAATTGATTGGGTGATTAATTAATTGATTAATTGGGTGATTAATGGATTGGACGATAATTGATTTATTAACTGAATAATTAATTGGTCCATTATAAAATAATATCCAAGGAATGTATTCCTCTAGGCTTTAGAACAAGTGGAGAAAGAAGCGCAGACTCTGAAGAAGAAACTATCACATGAGCGGAAAGCCAAACTTCAGAAGACGCACACACGCATCCAGGAAGCAAGAAGTTCAAAACAAATGGAGCTCGCGAAGTCGACAAATATTGATAAATTGGTAAGACTGTTTAAAAATATAAACTAACTCTATTTATACTGGATAGCTGAATATATGAATTCTAAACTCCCCTTCACAGAAGTCCAACAAATACCATTTCCAATGCAATCGTTTATTATTACTACAGGAGGAACCCTGAACCAAACTAACTTTTTTTGAAGTGGATAGAGCTCCAGTAAGGACCATACCGTATTGATTCAGTGTTACTACAGGAGGGAAACGAAGTGCCAAGAGTTACAGTGTTTGCTAGATTGACGCATTGTTCGATTGAAGTACAACACTTCTTACATGTGACTGAGGTGAAATTATAATCAGACAACTGTATATTGCTGGAACGAAGTCCGGTCACAGAGATGAAAGACAGATATAGCAACCGCTGTACTTTCGTTGGAAAGTTAATATGTAACTTTTTCTTCATTTACTAGATTTCTGATTTGGACGAACGCGAAAATCAGCTCAGAGCGATCACAGGTAAGAAATTTTCCTAAAAAATTTACCGTGCTTAGATGTTTGACTATACTACTCAAGAATAACGTATTCGAAATTTTAAATTTACACTATCATTTCTTATTTATACAGCGAACCTTCTACGAGATCAGAAGAAGAATGTAATGGCTAAAGAACATTCGAAAAAGGTAAAACCAGCAGTTAAAATAAATTGAAATAAGAGATTGGCCTTTGATTTTCTTCAATTTCCTTCCTCCTATAAGTGTCATCGTTCTGATGTTGTGTGAAGCTTAAATACATCACCCACAAAGGTCATTCTCGTTATTTAAATATTAAGTTCCATTTTCCGTAGGCGAAGAAACAGCTATTACAACAACTAGACGTTGAACGAAATCTGAAACTTGGCGCATTTGAAAGAGTGGACGAACTACAACGACAGGTGACCGAGTTTCTTAATTTCTTCGAACTAGTAGAGCTATCCAGTATAAATAAAGTTAGTTTAGTTTAGGTTTCCTCCTGTAGTAACACTGGATCAATAAGAGATGATCCTTACTGGACCTCTGGGAAGAACAGTTTAAAACTGATAAAGCTATCCAGTATAAATAAAGTTAGTTTTGTTTAGGTTTCCTCCTGTAGTAACACTGGATCAATAAGAGATGATCCTTACTGGACCTCTAGGAAGAACAGTTTAGAACTGATAGAGCTATCCAGTATAAATAAAG